TTTTTTAATTTTTTTATTAACTTCAAATTAATATGTTTTTAATGTTTTCAAATCATTTTAATGTGCTGATATTAAAAATAATTTTTAAAAAATAAAAAAATATCATTGGCATGCATTTTGATATGAAAAACTATTTAAAAAGCACAACAACCACACTTTCAAAGAGGCTCACTGAATGCATGGTTAAGCCGTGCCGTATCACTTTGAATGCATGATTAAGCCGTGCCGTATCGGATTCTTAATTAGGAACCTGTCCCCCTAGTTTCTCGAATTTCTCTACAAATGAAGACGAATTCGAAGAAACCGATGGTAGCGCAGTTTATGGACACACTCTCTTGAGCCAGCGGCCTTCTACTGTGGATCGGTACCCGATAATTCTCAGAAATATGGACGGTGGCTTTGTCTGTTACACTCTGCTCTATGCAAGAAATCCACATGATTCAAATCGCTGGTTCAGGTCAGCTTAAAAATGGCTCGTTATTCAGCAATTTTTTGCGTCTCTGCCACTAAGACTTTTAGGTTTTTTTGAACGGGATTCAAGTGGAGACGCGGGACGATATGGCGAAATTGTTCTTTCAGCATCTGAGGCCAAATGATCACATAGATATCTCGGGCCACTTGGAGTCTTACTTCAAGGTTTCTAGCAATGGAAATCCAAAGTCCAGTTACATGGTTCCCCATTTGAATTATAATAGTTTGCTTGGATATTTCATTTAAATTTTTGAAAACTGCGTGGAATTACTAATGATTTATGCTTACTTATAGAAAAAGAGGCTAGAGGCAGCTAGTTATTGATCGCGCTTAAGTTGCTGCTTGAAAAAAAAAGACTTAAAAAATTGATATCTAGATTCTTGAAAACATTTTAGCATATTATAAAATTTTATTTTTAGTTTAGATTTTAAATTAAATGTAATAGGTGGTTCAACGTGATTTTGTTCACAGTCTATGTAAAAAAATATATTAAAGAATATAATTAAAAAAAATACAATGAAATTAAAAACATCATACTAAATAATAGAATCAAAAGAGAAAAATAAAAAGTAAAAAGCTTTTATTATATAATAAAAATACAAAAACATTTACCATCAACACAATATTAAAAAATAAAATTAAAAAAGATAAAAAAACCTAAAAATAAAACTTTTATATTAAAATATAAAATTAAAAAAAAAACTAAAAGACAAAAAAAAATCACATATTTAACAAAAAAAAAAATCCTGAGCGAAGCCCGTGCGCCGACCCATGTCTTCTAGTTGTATTAATAATAAGGTAAAGATGGATCCCTCTGTGATCTCAGGTTCGAGTTTTTGGTTGCTCATATGATTACCACTGGAGGCTTACATGGTCGTTAATTTCAGGGCCCGTGGGATTAGTCGTGGTGCGCGCAAGCTGGCCCGGACACCCACATTAGACAAAAAAAAATCACATATTTAACAAAAAAAAAAATCCTGAGCGAAGCCCGTGCGCCGACCCATGTCTTCTAGTTGTATTAATAATAAGGTAAAGATGGATCCCTCTGTGATCTCAGGTTCGAGTTTTTGGTTGCTCATATGATTACCACTGGAGGCTTACATGGTCGTTAATTTCAGGGCCCGTGGGATTAGTCGTGGTGCGCGCAAGCTGGCCCGGACACCCACATTAATAAAAAATAAAAAATAAGGTAACAAGGTAAAGATGGAGTGATGTACACTTAGATACTAAATAATAGAATCAAAAGAGAAAAATAAAAAGTAAAAAGCTTTTATTATATAATAAAAATACAAAAACATTTACCATCAACACAATATTAAAAAATAAAATTAAAAAAGATAAAAAAACCTAAAAATAAAACTTTTATATTAAAATATAAAATTAAAAAAAAAACTAAAAGACAAAAAAAAATCACATATTTAACAAAAAAAAAAATCCTGAGCGAAGCCCGTGCGCCGACCCATGTCTTCTAGTTGTATTAATAATAAGGTAAAGATGGATCCCTCTGTGATCTCAGGTTCGAGTTTTTGGTTGCTCATATGATTACCACTGGAGGCTTACATGGTCGTTAATTTAAAAACCTAAAAATAAAACTTTTATATTAAAATATAAAATTAAAAAAAAAACTAAAAGACAAAAAAAAATCACATATTTAACAAAAAAAAAAATCCTGAGCGAAGCCCGTGCGCCGACCCATGTCTTCTAGTTGTATTAATAATAAGGTAAAGATGGATCCCTCTGTGATCTCAGGTTCGAGTTTTTGGTTGCTCATATGATTACCACTGGAGGCTTACATGGTCGTTAATTTCAGGGCCCGTGGGATTAGTCGTGGTGCGCGCAAGCTGGCCCGGACACCCACATTAATAAAAAATAAAAAATAAGGTAACAAGGTAAAGATGGAGTGATGTACACTTAGATTTTTAAAAGGAACAGCCATGATTAATTTATGTTTTTTTGATGATGATTATCATTGCTGGAAGATTGATATGTTTCTGATTGCTTCTCAAGGAATTAGTTTGCGATACTCTGTGCTCTTTTGTTCACTAATACTGAATTGATTTTATTAGCCACCATTGAAACGTTTGTAAGTTTCCGAAGGGATTGAACCATACCAATAGGTTTTCTATTCTGAACACGTTGACAAGTCCACATAGACACTAGCAAACACAGTCACACGCGTGTGCACTTGCTCGCTCATTCCTACACGTGTGCGTGTAGAATGATTTAGTTTGTTTCTATAGATAATTGCGAATGGATTGCATTACATTGCACAGCATGATCATCGGCCAGGCTGCCAAAGCCCTGAGTAATCAAAATTTGAAACCTGCCAAAACCAGGAGGAATCAGAGTCGGAAGCCTGTCGAAACCCTCCCTGAGGAATCATGGAGCCGCGTTCAGGAGGTATCCGTTTTTCTTTTACCTGTTGAAGTTTATTTTCAATTAAGTGTCCATCTCTCGTTCACCTGGTTCCTGGACAAGACGCTGTGTTGCAGGATATGAATGGCTCATAGTTCATTTAACACAAGAGATGGCTTAGGTGGGTTGTTTCTCAATATAGGACTTCCAAATCTTTGAAAGAGGAATGGGTATGGGGATGGAGACCCACCGCGGGAGAGCTCCGTGCTTGGAAATTCCTTATACCTCTTGCCTCCTGAAGTATATTAGGTAGATACAAGGTCTTATGGTGGATTACAATAATCGACCATTAGCTGAGATGGCATTAACCACATTCGAAGTTCAAATCTTGGGTGGCCAAATGTAAAGAAATTAAGGACAGGACCAGCGGCGATTATCGTAGCTACTGTAAAACTAAGGGGTGGTCGATGTACTTTCTGATAGCATTTAAAGCGTATTTAGAAATGTAAAAATAGTTAGTTTTTAAAAAATTATTTTTTATTTCATGTTAAAATAATATTTTTTTTAATATATATTTTTGACATTAATATATCAAAAAATTCTAAAAACATTAAAAAATAAATTAAAAATTAAAAAAATAAATTTTTTTCTTAAAAACACTAATGTAAAAACAAACCATGTCTTATTCGTCTATATAACAAGGAATGGAGTGTTTGTCATACTGTATGACTGTCTTAGAAATCAATGTATTTCGAACATGTAGAATGAAGTTCGTTGAAATCGTTTCGACGAGTTTCTTAAATAATAACCACCACCAATTGGTTAGTATCATGTCGGATTCATTTGTTAGGGCTACCCATCACGAATGAAATAGCATTAACTTTCCCGAAGAGTTAATTACGAGAATCAACCACCAAGTTTATAGTTAACTTGAATTTCACTCGGTTTTCTTTTTCACCGAACGTGGCTTTTTTCTTATATGCCAGACCCAATGGTCCCACCTAAATGGCTGTCTGCAATTAACAATTAATAAAAGGATAATGATTATTTTTAAAAAATATATATATTTTTGAAAACATATTTAAATAATAAATATTTTATTTTTTAAAAATTATTTTTAATATCAGCACATTAAAATATTATAAAACATAAAAAATTTAAAATTTTTAAATATTTCATTTAAAACATAATTCCAAACAACCTGCTAAGTGTGCTTGTACATGTTGCCATGAGAATTTTACAATGTTAACCACACCGATTTGTCAAGGACTACCTTATTTGTGCCCTCTCCAAATACGAAGGCACTGATTGATTCATTGACTGTAAATTGTATCAAAACGAGAAAGCTCAACGAGGTGATGCAATGACTCGCCGGAGCCAGTGTGAAAATCCTTGCTCTGGTTTAGAATGCGTGCACTCAAAGTCCCCGATCCCAAGCGGCGCAAAATGCTCTCAATCGAGTCATGGATCCTCCAGCCTTGACTGGTAACTGGTGGTAATGGTTCTTTTGTAGTCTCTGGCCCCATAATTGAGAGCTTCATGCATCTCAAGTTGACGAGGGCACAGCAATCGTTTTCTGAGTCAAAAAGCCTTTCACGTAGACTGGATTATTTGAACAATACCACGTATCTTGCACTTTTCAATTGATTTGATGATGTTCCTTTTCCCCTTTTATATGCTTTATTTAAAAAAATTAAAACTGTTCAGTTTTTTACTGTAATAATTTATAATGAAAGACTAAACTGTTTTTTTTTTTTGTTTGTTTTTAAGCTTTTTTCTAAGCAATTTTTCTTCATTTTTTGTTTTTTTGATGTCTTTAACTTTTTTTTTCTTTTTTTAAATAATTTTTTTTATTTAATTTAGTTTAAGCTATTTTTTTTCATTTTTTCATTTTTTTTCTTTTTTGATGCCTTTAGCTTTTTTTTTTCTTTTAACAAATTTTGTTTTGTTTAATTTAGTTTATTAATGTTAATATTTTTTTAATTTAATTATCAGACTTTTATGACACTGATCCTGAATTTAACAGGTTAGCTTGATTTCACGAGTTAATTCGGATTTTTTTCTTTTTAATTAGTTTTTTTCGTTTATTTTAGTTTGTTAATGTTAATTTTTTTTCTATTTAGTTATTAGACTTTCATGACACATATCTCAAATTTCAAGGGGTTAACACGGGTTAACTCGGTTTCACGGGTTAACTCAGTTAATTCTGGATTAACCGGTCCATTTTTTTTTGTTTTTTTTATTTTGTTAATATTAAATATTTTTTTATTTAGTTATCAGACTTTCATGACAAAGATCTCAAGTTTAACAGGTTGATCTGGTTTGATGAGTTAACCCGAAGTTTTTTTTTTGTTTTTTTTTTAAATTTACTTTAGTTTGTTAATGTTAAATTTTTTTCTATTTAGTTATCAGACTTTCATGACATATATCCCAGGTTTGACAGGTTAACCTGATTTTAAGGGTTAATCCAGTTAATTCTGGGTTAACCTGTCCATTTTTATTTGTTTTTTTCTTTTATTAATGTTAAATTTTTTTATTTAGTTATCAAACTTTTATGACATGGATCCCGGGTTTAACGAGTTAACCTGGTTCGACAAGGTAACCCGAAGTTTTTTTTCTTTTTAATTAATTTTTTTGTTTAATTTAGTTTATTGATGTTAAATTTCTTTCTATTTAATTATTAGATTTTCATGATACATATCCCAACTTTGACTGGTTAATCTGGTTTCATGGGTTAACTGAGTTAATTCTTGGTTAACCCATCAATTTTTTTTTTCTATTTAGTTATTAAACTTTCATGACATGAATCCTAAATTTGATAAGTTAACCTGGTTTGAAGGGTAAACCCAGTTAATTCAGATTTTTTTTTCTTTTTCTTCATTAATTTTTTTCTTCATGTTGGTTTTTTTTCTTTGTTTTTTCTTTTTAATTAATCTATTTAATTATCATACTTTTATGACACGATTTTACAGTTAGATCAACATCTAAGGCTCTTAGATCTGGTGTTGCAGTCAAACTCACTTAAACTTGAGTCATGTAAGTTTAATGTTATTATTAATATTATAAATATTATTCTTGGGTCAAGCGTTGCAGTTAGACCCAAGATTTTTAGGTATATCTTTGCAGAAAGATTTGACACTCTTAGATCTTAATCTTTTTTATATTTTTTATGCAAAAAAAAAAAATTAACCTGTGGGCATGTCTTTATTTTTTCCCCTTTTCTTTTTCTTTTTAAGTCTTTTATTGTGGACTGCACAATGTAGTTTCATTTTTTTTCTAGCTTTTTTCCTTTTCTTTTCTATTCTTTTTTAATTATTTTTTTAATTTAATATTTTAATATTAAATTTTTTCTATTTAATTATCAAACTTTTGTAACATGGATGGCGGGTTTGACGGGTTAGCCCAGTTAATTCTGGGGTAACCTGTCAATTTTTTTTTTTTAGTTATCAAATTTTTACGACACAAATTTAATGTTTGACGGGTTAACCTGGTTTAAAAAGTTAATTCAGATTTTTTTTTCTTCCTGTTAGTTTTTTTTCTATGTTTTTTTCTTTTTACTTAATCTATTTAATTATCACACTTTTATAATACAACCTTACAGTCAGACCCACATCCAAGGTTAGTAGGTCTGGTATTGCAACCAAACTCACTTAAACTTGGATCGTGCAAGTTTTATGTTATTATTAATATTATAAATATTACTCTTGGGTTAGACGTTGCAGCTAAATCTAAGACTTTTAGGTATAGTTTTGCAGAAAGACTTAGCACTTTTAAACCTTATCTTTTTTTGATATTTTTTATACAAAAAAAAATTAACTTGCAGCATCACGCAGATCATCTAACTAGTTTCTATCCTAAAACCAATCGTCTTCTTATTGGAATGAATGAAGGAGCCCATCTCACTTACGTCTTTTTTTGTTTGTATCATATAAAGAAAATTATTGTATCTATTTTAATATATAATTTATATTATGTTTTAATATATTATTTGAAGTGAAAATTTATTAAATTTAAATTTTACATAAATTAATACTAATTTATATTTAATTTTTATTAAATAAATAAAAATAATAAAATTTAAATTCATTATCAAAGCTTTGATATTTTATAAAAAAATAATTTTATTCAAAATTTTAAATTATTTAATGAAATTTCAAAATATAATTTATATTAATATTTGATAATATATATATGTGTGGGGGCATAGAAATGACAACTTTTTATTTTAAAATATGATAGTGCTACTTTTTTTGTCCTTAACTTCTTTCTTTTTTTTTTACTATTTTTTAAAAAAATCATTATATATATATATCACACTCACGGGTCTAGAAACATTACCGTAGAAATGACAACTTTTTATTTTAAAATATAACAGTACTACTTTTTTTGTCCTTAATTTCTTCGTTTTTTTTTACTATTATTTTTTTAAAAAAAATCATCATTTCATATTATTCGAACCATTCTTGCATTGATTGATGATTCTAGAAACATTGCCGTAGAAATGACAACTTTTTATTTTAAAATATGACAGTGTTATTTTTTTTTGTCCTTAATTTCTTCTCTATTATTTATTTATTTTTTTTAAAATTCATTATTTCACATTATTCCAACCACTGCGCATTGCATTGATTGATGATGACTTTATATATATAATTTCTTTTAAATTTTTAGATTAATTAAGGATGTTTTTAGGTATTATTTTGTTGAATTTCATTTATTTTTTACAACTCATCATAATAATAATAAAAAATATTTTATTTGGATTATTTGTAAGGTCACAAATTCTTGTTTTTGTATAATTAAATAAAAAAATATATATTTTTTTTAAACCTAGTCAAGTTTAGAACCTAGAACATCATTTTAACAAGGTAATTCTAATAAAACTAACATGTTTCCATTCCAATATTAAAAAAAAAATAGTATCTTGATTTTATATTTTGAAATCAAGTCATGTTGTTTTTAATATTTTGGTTTATTTTTAGATTTTTCAAGTTAATTTGATCTATCATACCTTCTGTAATTTAATAAAATCTAAGAGATTTGTGCCATAAAATTTAAAAAATAATCAATACAATAGATCTAATGATATTTTTAAATAGTTTCATGTAATAGCATTAAGGTGTTGTATTGTTATCATGTTTTCAATAAAATATTAGGGTGTTATTTTTTATAAATTGAAACTAGTTTTTTTTAATAATGAGAGAATGTTGGTCAAGAAAAAGATATTTTGGTGAAAGTTCTTTTATAGAAAAAAACACAATAACAAGATAAAAAAAAATTAATTAAAGAGATGTCCTTTTATCTCTAATTTAGATTGTCTTGATTTTTTTTATATGTATTCTAGACACCTCTTGTTTTTTTATTAAATAAATGACATAAAAAAGTTATATATTTTTTTTTAAATTAAATATACAAATAAAAAAAATAAGACTTTTACTAAA